ATATTAACTCAATGTTAGAGTAAAACATCGATTCTACTCGAGAATAACGAGTAAATATGAAGCAACTTACTCAAATGAGTAATTTTACCGATTATAACTGCGTAAACGATAGTGGTTTACTCAAAATAGTTTACTCAGGTGTTTGAGTTTGAAGTTATACTCAGCATATTCGAGTAAAAATACTCTTAAAACTGAGTAAACATTGCATTCCACGCAAATTTATGTGTTAAAATAACTCAAGCGAAAAATGGATTTTTCGGTGTGCCGCGGATGAAAGTTTTAAATTAATCCTATTTACAAAGCACGCAAAGCTATTAATATGTCAGTTGATAAACTGACAGGACGCGGGAGTATTGACAACATTTAATATAACATAACACCAAACTGTTAAAGTTTGCGTGGTATATTTAATTACGCGGTATACTTGATTGCTTTGCGTGCTTTGTAAATAGGATTAATCTAAATTAAAGTTTCCATCCAAATAAAGATGCCTTGTGGAATTTATTGAGTCGTTGCATTTATATAGTTATATTTATTTATATATGCATGTACAAGTGGATGTGTGTGTGTATATATATATATATATATATATATATATATATATATATATATATATATATATATATATATATATATATATATATATATATATATATATATATATATATATATATATATATATATATATATATATGTTAATCATCACGATATGGCATTTATAATTTTTTATATATGTTAATCACCGTAGGAAAGTATTTTTTAGTGAACAGGAAAAGTTGGGACTAAGTCGGATTCGAACCGGCGACCTCTGGGTTACAAGCCCATCGCTCTACCAACTGAGCTATCAGCCCGATGGTATATTCGAACCCAACCAGTCACAACCATTCCTGCACACCCACATGGCCACTCACCAAAGCCATGCCGAATTTGTATACCATTTCGACAGTAACATGTCTTCTTCAGCCGTATATATGTTAATTATCATATATATATATATATATATATATATATATATATATATATATATATATATATATATATATATATATATATATATATATATATATATATATTTATATATATATATATATATACATATATATGTGCAGCTTGATACACGTCTAGATACGCGATGCCTTCGCATTTATATCGCACGAACTTGCTCTCACCAAGGCATGCGGTACAACACGATGACATCAACGCATCCAGACATGCGCAGAGTGTAATGGGGCCAGAATGCAATTATTGTATGCTCAAACAACCACAAGTGTGAGCTTTGCATTATCGCTATATATTTGCATATATATATATATATATATATATATATATATATATATATATATATATATATATATATATATATATATATATATATATATATATATATATATAACCGACGCGTCATAGATCGCTCCAGGAGAATCGCTCAGTGGGGTGGCCATCCTTCTTTGGGCTTGCCGTGGGTTAATAAATACCAATCCTAAGAGTTTCGAATCACACATAAATGACCAGTTCCTTACTAGTTGCTAAATTATGACCAGTCCATTACTCACCAAGCTGACTCTTGTATTTTTCAGTGTTTCAGCCATCGAACCCGGCCTGGTTGGTACTCAATTCGCGAGTACCGCGTTTGCGCAGGAGGCCGCACCGAAAGAGGAGACGACGAAAGCACTGTATGATAAAATGATGGGATATATGATGAGCAATTGGATGGCCGAAGGTGTACTGCAAACAGGTGACGATTGTGCAGAATATATCTTGAGAGCGATTACGGATGAGAAACCTCAGTTACACTATTTCACCAACAAGAATTTCGAAGCGACTAAGAAAATAAAGTTTCATGATATGACGGGAGAAGAAAGCCTTCGGGAAAGCATGAAATACCTGTCTTAATCTTGGGGACACTATCTGGCTTATTGATGGTTCAGTGTTGTCTTGGATGATTGCATGTTATCTACAACGTGTACTAATTATATACCCTGTCGTTTGTTTGTTGAAATAAAATATGTTCAAAATACCATCGCGCGTCCTCTTGCCGTATGCACACATTTGTAAATCACATATTTTTATAGATACAAAGAGGACATTTCAACGTCACAGAATTACTCGTTGTGGCAGCTACACATGTAAAATAAAACAACTTCTCATAAACTCTCTCTTGATCCCTGTGCCATTAAGCCATTGCTATCTTTCAGACTGCTGTTTTATGAATTGCCCATTCCCTTTCCAGTTCTGCTTTGGTTCATTCTTTCTCCAGATTCTATATAGTCCTTCTTTGACTCTGTCGCTCCAACATTTTCAAGTAGTGCATTAATATGTTATAGCAAGATTTACTGTGTTTTCTATATTTATAAGTCCTCTTCTTCCTACGTTCCTAGTGTACATTCTATGTCAGTCCTCGGATGTAATCCATTGTGCATTGTTAGTAGTCTTCTTGTCCTAATGCATAACCTTGTATCCATGCAGTCCTTCCAATTCTTCTTTACTCCAGTCAAGAAATGCTGCAGAATATCTTTATAAGGATATTTCCCATGTATTTCTTCCGAATTATAATATTAATCTCTCCATTCATCTTTGTTTTCAGAAACTTCTTGATCCTCCGCTTGTATTCTTTGTCAATTTTTTCTTCCATTCCTTTCTTCTTGAAATCGATTACATCAAGTATTACGCTTACTTCTGTTACTTATATTTAGTCTAGACTATTTATCTTTGCAACAATTGTGATTACTTTCTTAACTCTGTTTATCCTAACCCACCCTGTCAACTTTCCCAGTTGGAGGAAACCGGAGCGCCTGGAGAAAACCCACAACTTTCGGCAAAGCGTTGATATGACTCTTTTTACATGAGTCCGTAGCGAGAATCGAAAATCTTGGAAACATTCTAAAATCCATGAATGGGGTAACATGTCATTGTGTGCTTTAATCAATCCAGGCCACTGCTAAATTTTCTTTCTCCTTTTCGCTTTTTTCAACACCTCTATACAGCAAATCACCCGTCCCCATTGATTTCTTTACAGCCCTTTAATTTGTTCTTCGGGTAAAATCATGTTTTCATCAAGGAAGGAACATAGTGTAGTATTCCGGTCTGGACTTTCTACGTCAAGGATAGTTAGGTTATATGTCTATACGAGGTAACACGGGACAGGCGGGGATAGCGAATAGTAATATGAATTGGAAATTCAAATCAGGAGAGAAGTCTGTGTTTTTCGAATGTCATATTGCGATCATTTGCACTAGGACAATACCCTTCCGATTTGAAATTAGCTAATGTTATTCCTCTTTACAAGAAGGTTATTCCTTAATGTTATTATATTATATTTATAACTTATATTTAGCCTAGACTATTTATCTTTGCAACAATTAATTGTGATTACTTTCTTAACTCTGTTTATCCTAACCCACCCTGTCAACTTTCCCTGTTGGAGGAAACCTGAACACCAGGGGAAAACCCACAACTTTCGGCAAAGCGATAATGATAATAATTTTGAATTTTGCCTTGTGTTCAATTTTACGATTTTCTGCGATCTACTACTTGTAGTTCTTTGCCATGTAGCCGTCAGGCATTGTTTGGCTGTTGGTACACTCATAAACGGTTTTTCATTAACGTTTTTCAAATTCCACTTCACACATTCGCCATGTGATTGGCCTTCAGAACAGTGCGATGACCAACACTATAGGCCTATGAACCATCACGCTCCCAGGATCATTGATGAACCTTTCAATCCGCTTGCCGTGTTAAGGGACTTCTACTGTTAAGGCGGACACAGAGATCAGACGCGATTCGACAAGGTGGCGCGATTTTTCGATTTTCACTGACCGATAACTTTGACCCTGGTTTAAATTTTCCAAATATTTAGAAGTGCTATAACATTTTAAGTTGATTTGGTCTACATGTTTTTTAAAATTTCTTTTCAATGACAATGGCTGCATATCTCGGCCAGTGAACTCCATGTCTTTTATCTGAAACGATAACATGAGGAAAAACGTACAGTGGCGAAAATCTCGCGGGGCGGGTGGGGGGCGACCGCCCCTCCCCTCACGGAAAATGACGCATTTTCGGAACTTTTGACCCAAAAGAAGGCTAATGGGGGGGGGGGAAGGTGCAAATGGAGGGGGTGGGGGTTGTCGGAAATTTGAAAGTTTTGTCGGAATTAAATTTGGGAAGCTTTGCCCCCCAACGGAAAAAGTGAATTTCCGCCGCTGATGGCGTATAAGGGGACTGAAACTGACGTACTATGTGGCGTGGCGATTGACCGCGCGGATGAAGGGACTGAAACTGGCGTACTGTATGGCGTGGGATTGGCATGGAGGGCTAACGCCACTGCTCACGCAAAGCTTCACTTTTTAACAGCCAAATGACTGAGCCGTGTTATCGTTCCAGGTAAAGTAACTGTCTCGTACCCAGGCGTCTTTGTAAAAAAACAGCGATGCCCATACGGCGAGTTTACATGAAGTGTTGTAGTGGCGAGAGAAGGACGAAGGGATTGTTGGGAAGAGTGCACTTGAAATCGAGTCGCCTGGGAGTTCTTGGTCGATTTCTTGCAAGTTGTGATATTTCGTTGTCGTTTACGTTTTTTGCTACTTGTATTAACCAGTGGTAATATTCTTCTGTCATCTGGGCGTGAATTCATGCTGTTATTCTTGGTATATATGACATATGCGTTATTTGTCTTGGAATATTAAAATTTCAACAACCGAAGGGTTAAAGAACTAGATTTGCAATTTATGACTATATAGCTGAAAGTATAAACTATAAAATTGCACTGTTGTAACAAATATTTTAAACTTTACGGCTGTGAACTTTTATTTATTAAATACCGAATGACATTCTCTATTTATTCGAAATAAAATATTCGCACGGTTAACTTGCCATGTAATTTACTCATAATTTTTTGCGCATTTTGCATGTCATCAAACATCTACAAATGGCGTTCAATTCAACTCTTCGCCAAAAAGTAAGGTTTTACACACAGAGTATATGACGATATGGTAACGTTTTGTATTAAATTCCATGTTTGTCCGCCATGACAGTACACAAGAACTGCCAGGCGCTTCCCAGTGCGCACCCTTCCCAACAGTCCTTTCGCGCGTCGCCTACCTGAATACGTTCTATATTATCCCCGAGCCGACGGCGCGAAGCGCCGTGCGAGGGTACTAATTCCCCCCGGCTATTTACACTCGGGGAAACGAAAGCATTAGCGGAGTCTAAAGTTCATCAAATATCGCGGGCGTGGGTGACCAACGATGGGTGGTCATCCTCACTGATCTCAAA